CTCGCAATTTCGAGTGCGAATGAGTACGACTGAAGGGGGGGGGTGTACTCATAGTCGTGCATGCCGTAGTCGTGAGACCATTGACCTCGCATCCCTACAAAGCCGGGACGGAGCACGCCGGGTTCTCACCGGACCAGGCTCACGACTCAAGGGGGGCGGCGGGTGAATCCTCTCGAAGGCAAGCCTCATCCTCTGTGCCCCCGCGGCTAGTATGCCAATCGTACGCCGAAAGACTAGCGCTTAGAATAGATGGGACGAGACCACAGATGGGTTGGGGGCGATAGTGACGAAAACATTCAAGGTAGATAGATATGCAGTGTTGTGGCAGCGAAGGAGAACAGCAGTGTCAACTTCCCGAACTGCTGTTGTCTGCGCTGCTTGTGTGGTGGAGAGTGCCAGAGACGAACCTGGACGTGACCGTCCTGCTGTGGTCGATTGTACAATGTGCGCGCGGAGCAGTCGCGCTCGTGACGTGCCATGACAAGTAATAACAGCGGGCAATACCTTACCTGCACTTACTTTACATTTGGCAACTTGAAACACACACAACTCAGTAGTTTCCGACTTCATAGCAGTACTGCTGTAACTACTGCCACCACCGCCTGGATTCATTCGCTGGTAGCATCCAGTGCGGCGTAGAGTAAACCAGGGTATTAACGAACACCCCCCCTTTAACGAACACTTTTTTCAAATGCACGTCCCTCGGCGCACAATGCGCGGAGCCCCCCAATTTTTTTTTTGAAATCTTCAGCTTTCCGTTAGCTTTCGTTTGAGCACCTCCGCGTGTCGATCGGGTCAAGCACTCCCGAGATACAGCACAGCCCTCACCCACACCCCTTATGTGGGGCATCTTTGCCCTTTTCGGGGTCCTGCTGCTAAGCATGGGACGTAAGAGAGTAGACCCAGAGCAGGCCCAGAAGGCTGTAGATGCGGTACGCAGCGGTGAGATGTCGCTCCGCGTTGCTGCGAGGACCTACGGGTTACCGCTAGCCTCGCTGCACGACCGTGTGAAGAACAAGGTGGCCATAGATGCGAGGGTTGGTCCCGGGACTGTCCTGAGCAAGGAGGAGGAAGATTTCGTAGAAGACGTCTTGATCTACGCCTCCCGACACTTCTTGCTGTTGGGTCGGAGGGAGCTGAGAGACGCTGTGCGCAACATCTGCACCGACGGGCGCAAGGTGCCCTGGGACCCAGACAAGGGCCCTGGGGACAGCTGGCTTGAGGGGTTTATGGCGAGACACCCGGGTTTGTCGGAGCGAGCCACCCACATCTACGAAGCAAACCGGATTAACGAAGACGGCGAGCCTCGCCTTCAAGCTTTCTACAAAGCATGGGCGGAGTACCTGGAGGAGACCAAGCTCCCGCCGGAACGCATCCTCAACACGGATGAGACAAGTGAGTTAGGGCAAGGGTTGAGGTGTCAGTAGGTGTCATTGGGTGTCAGCGGTGTCAGTATCGACTGCTGTGGGTTCGTAGGCGAAGTACCAGCAGCACTGCGATGTGTCACAACAACGCGGAGTTCTGCTGCTGCAAAAAAAAAAGATCCAGCAGTTGTCCCGCATATCTTCCGAGCCGTTGCTGCTTGTCATGCGCGTAGCACACAACACGCCCGCATGTTTGCTGCTGGAGTCGGCTGAGGTTAGCATGTAACAGTCCCTGTGGTCATCTCAGTTGCACTCTGCCGCATGATTGCATGTGTACATCGTTTTCTGTTGTGATGCTACCGGCAACAGCGGGCGTGTGTTCTTGGTCTGCAAAATGCATGTGTGTTGCTGAACGACGCGCGAAGTGCAGACTAGTCTAGTCACGTCGAGACTTCAGTAGAACGCTTTGTTTTTGTAAACCCACCTACGTTTGGAGCTCAATGCAAACTGCCATGGGTGTGGGGTTATTGTTTCGCACCCAAAGTTTAAACGAATCCGACACTTGCCGCACAAAAAATGGCCTTCACCACTGCTGTGTGCCACCACCCGGAGCGAGCAGCACCCATGTGTGTTTGTACGCGCGTTTTTTGTGTGTCTAGTTTACTGATTGTTCAACTGTCTTTACCCCCGATGCGCGCGTGTTGTAGGTTCGACCCCTCAAGGTACAAAGTCGGGGAAGGCAATCGTCGCAAGAGGCACCAAGGTACCCGGCGCGAGGCGTTCCAATTCGCGAGAAAATACGACGGTGGTCGCCACCATCGGTGCCGACGGCCACACGTTCCACCCTACCATCATCTTCAAAGGCCAGCGTATGCAACCCGCTTGGATCCAGGACAACAACGGCGTCCCCGATGCGAAGTACACCGTCACGGAGTCATCCTTCATCCAGAGCCACGTCTTCCTGGACTACCTTCGAGACCTCCGCAAGCAGCTCGATGCGCGCGGCTTGCTGGGCAAAGCTGCCCTTGTGCTCGACGGCCACGCCTCACACACGACCTTCGACGCCATCAGCTTGGGCATCTCCCTGGACATGGACCTATTCCAGCTTCCATCCCACACATCGCACATCACCCAGCCCTTGGACGTCGGTACGTTCGGAACCTTCAAGATGGAGATCACCAAGGTGCTCACGGCCTACCCGCTAAAGAACGGGGGGAGGAGTCCGGTGAAGCGCGACATGGCTGGCGTGATTGCGGAGGCATGGGCAGGGAGCTTCACGCCTGAGAACAACAAGGCGGCGTTCAAAGGGTCGGGCTTGTGGCCGGTGAGCATGGAGAAAGCTATCAACAGACTACACAGCAAGAGGAAGCAACGGGACCATGACCGCCCTATTCGTGAAGACCTCGCCGTGGTTGCCTCTAAGGATCAACTCGAGCGAGACCTCGGCCGCGCTGCCCTCCTGGAGCTGAAAAGACACGGGCTGATGATCGAGGGGCTCCGTGTCAACACCGTGTTCCTTGGCGGGCTCACCCGCCTCACCAAGCGCACCAAGGCTTTCGCGACCGTTCGGGCGGGGGGGGGGAAGCCCGAAGGTGGTCTGCTGTCCGCCGAAGAACATCTTGCTCAGGCCAAGAAGGACCAAGAAGCGAAGCAGGCAGCTGAGGAAGCAAAGGCGGCACGCGCGGAGGCAAGGGCAACGAAGGAGGCCAACCAACAATCTGGAGCAGTTGGTGGGCGGGGCGGCGGGCAGGGCGGCGGGCGGGGCGGCGGGCGGGGCGGCGGGCGGGGCGGCGGGCGAGAGGGGGGGAGAGGTGGAGGGCGCGAGGGTGGGAGAGGTGGAGGGCGGAGCGGGGGGCGTGGCGAAGGACGGGGCGGGGAACAGGACGGAGGGCGGGGAGAGAGGAGCGTGAGGGTTGAGCTAAGCGGGACGCGGACGGCGATCAGGGGGCGCGGTGGCGGTGGGCGAGAGGGGCGTGGCAGAGGACAGGGTGGCCAGGACCGCACCACTGGTGCTCGTGGAGAGCAAATGGGGGCGGGAGGGCGGGGGGGGGACGAGGGGAGAGGTGCTCCCGTCCAAGGAGGAGCGGGACGGCCGAGAGGGGCGGCGGTTCCCTTGGTTCACCCGCCGCCGTCGGCGGCTCCCATTTCTTCCCGAGGACGGCAGCGGATCCCGACACCAATCGTTGATGTTTAGACCAGGGCAGATGCTTTGCGGTTGTTGTTGTTTTTCTGGGCTACTATTGTCTAGGCGGTGGATGAATTAGACTATACGAGTAAAGCAGAAGATTAGGTGGTTTGTGGGGGCATGTGGAGATGGTTAGGGTGCACCCCAGCAGCGCGGGGGGGGCGGGGGGGTTGATACCGGGAAACCCGGGGATATGGTAATTTTGTCCCCGGGCATGCATGATTTTTTTTTTTTTTGCAACAGCGTTTCTTGTGATAAAACAAACCTACACACCAAAGGGCGTCTTGTGGGAATGTAAGATGACTGTGAAAAAAGGGAAATGGCCTTGGGGTTCTTGCGGAGAATTATAGCGGTAGCGGCCGGGTCAAGGGGTGCCTGTTTGAACGGGCATTACATCACATGCGCGAAGTTTTTCGTCCTAATTTTTTTTTCTTGAGTCTGTATATGATCAGATTAGACCCACTGTGCAATAATCTCTTAGTTTTGGCTCTTTTCATGTGTGCAGCACCGCCGTACGGTCAAAAATGGGGTAAAATCCGTCCCCGATTTCAGGCGGAAAACCCGGGGATGTGAGGATTTTGTCCCCGGGCGTGGATCGATTCCATTTTTTTTTTTCCTAAACGGATATATGTTGCGACAGACGTATCTCCACAAAAAATCAGATCATGAAACGCTTCAGAACGCACGAAAGCAGCTACAAAGCTAAAGTGTTCGTTAATTGGGGGGGGGGGTTTTTCCTGCATTTTCAGCTAAACAATGGAATGCACTGCATCAGCTCTATCTCGTTGACACGAACGATTTTTTTTTTTTTTTTAGGGAGGTAGCCTATAATACAAGCTATCGTCCGGTACCCACAAATACATCATACTCCTCTTCATGCCCGAGAACGAGCTGTTGGCGCGAGGGGTGGCTTAAGCGTTCGTTAATTATTGGCCGGTTTACTCTATGTGCGTAACTATGATGCAAACTTCAGTCGCTCGCAAGCATGTGTGTCCGGGATTTTATGTTCGTGAATTTGTGCCGTAATTTATTTACGCAACTAAAACGAACGAGCGGTTGTGACTTTGATGCATCCTGAAAATTTTGCGCGTCAAGTTCCAGTCCAAGATCCGCCTGTTGTTCTTTTTTTCTACTTTTTTCCCGCTTTTTCCTGTTTTTCGCAATTTTATACGCGTATTGTATGCTCTCGGGCATGTTTCTCCCGCCCCCTCTGTCCTCTAGGCGAGAGCAGCTTGGATGCTGTTACCTACTTTGAAATTGCTATCTACCGTATCATGTCTTCCCGTTGTCTGCTCTGTCTTCTATCATGCAGAACATGGGAAGGCGGGCGCTATGTTGTGTTCATACACCGACGGCATGAATGACAACAATGCGGCGGGACGCTGATTGGTTGGCTCTCACAGTGTTGTTTCCCCTGGCAGTCAGGCGGGTGGGGACAGACAGCAGTCCATCCGACGCACACCGAACATCAACCCTACACGGGTGATGGCGTCTGAAGAACATGGTGATGCTGTCCCGGTTCGGACATCGTGGAACCTTCTGCGTGCCTTTCGTTCATGGGGGAGGATTGAAGAGCAACCAGACTTGGAACAGCCTGTGAGACGATTTTTGTCTTGTTTTGTGCGGGGTGTGTAGAAGGCTTTCCAGACAGGGCAGGCATCGGTATACTGCTGTGTTGACTAGTGGTACCAATTCATCGATGCATTGCATTTGTGAAGTGCGCATGTGGAGTGTACATCTTGCATCGTGTCTTCTTTCTACGACAGACTCGCATGCTGTGGGTGTGCGTGCAGGCAAGGCGCGCTGGTGCGTAGAATACCCTCACGATTTTGATGTCCAGTGGTTCTGAAAAAAACCGCAGAGCACCTACAGCAGTGCAAACGGCGCTGCCGACCTTCGCATAACAAGAACGGCAGATAGATTGCGTTGGGGGGAAGGTCGCTAAGAAGCAATTCATCTTCGTGCTAAAAATGACAGATCGATCAGTGGCACCAAAGTTGACCAATAGGCTTGGACAGCTGCGGTTACAGCAGTACCGCGGCAAGCCCCTGTTGGTTGGGTTTCAGAAACAGCGAACACAACCCAACTTCTCTCATTGGAACGCCCTCGAAATGAAAAGCGGATACGTTTGAACGGTGATGTGCACAACATCATTCGTTTCGGCCCATCGCGCATAACATGGAGAAATCGGAACGGTTTACATTGGTATGTAGAGTGGATACCAACAGGTCGCTATATTCCGCCAGACCTGGCCCAATCCTCTCGTTGCCCCCCTGCTCGACCGTGGTTGTCGATGTCGCAGGGGCCCGTATTCGCTCATGGGAGTGCTTTGGACGTGATGGTGGTGACACAGTTTCGCCCCGCTTGGGAGATTCAAGCACACCTCCGCTTCGTCCGCTTGCCCTACAGGTGGACAGGCCAACACCAGCGGTGCTTGTTTGGTGGAGTTCCGCCGTTGAAAATGACAAGGGGTGGTGGTATTGGGGGTCGTATCGTTGTGTTTTATTGTCCATTGTTGATTCTTTACTGTCGTGGCTCGTGTTGATGCGGTCGCGATGGTGTTGGTGGGAGTTGTGATCGTTGGCCTTGTTCCATTTCTCGGTTGCCGGTGCCGTCAGTATTTTTGTTGGTGTGGTGGTGGTGGTGGTTGTGATGGATGTTGATGTTTGATGCTTGTTTAGTGACCACTCTCTGGTGGATGTTAGTGGTCGATTTTCGTTTCTTGGTCGCGCACTCGACAGGCGATCGTGGAGATACCAAACACACACGGCATTTCCATCATTGGGCTGTTTGCCTGAGTTTACCTACTAATGCCTGCTCGATCTGCCTCATCCATGCACACACACCCTAACTCAAACGCTCTCGATACTCTCTTCAAAGCGGGAAATGTTGCACTTTACAAAACTTGCGAACCTCTTTGCCGAGTGAGCTTACACAGCGTGCCCCACAACGATACCTTCTTCTTCATCCCCCCGCACACCCGTTCACCCATGGCACCCAGAGTCGAGAACAGCAGCTACATGGGGTCGGCGGCGACGGGCCTGTACCCTGCCCTCACGGACGGCCAGTTCGTCCTCCGCTCCGAGGATGCGGCCGGCCACATCGCCAGCAGGCGCAGGGACGTGGACGTCGGCCTCACGGAAGCGGAGAAGGTTTGGTTTTCGCAGTGCTCGCTTGCGTGTTTGGCGTTGTGTTCGTTCGACGCTTCTTATTGCTCATAGGTGCGGTCGCCCAGACGATACAATTAGCGCGGAGTGGTGTAGGAGGAGGTGTAGGTGGTGCGGTAGGTCTGTGTGAGCGGTGCTCGCTTGAGTGGCTGGCGTTATGTCGCCCAAGACGTTTAGCGATCGTACTCCGCCGCGGTGGGGAGGTGGGGAGGTGTCGGTGAATTGGTACGTCTCCACTTGTGCCGTGATGGGTGACAGAAACGCAATCAGTGAGCATCTACGAGCACATGCGGTATCGCATTCGAGTTGGACTGTTTTGTACATGTCTCCGTCGGTGCCAGGGCAGCCTTTGGCGTATGAAAGTGGCGTAAAAAGTGTACAGAGTACCGGCACCGACCTCAAGCTTCTCCCTCCGCCCCTCGATCCTGTAGAAACCACGTACGTTTCCAGAAAGTGTGCGTCATTCTGTATGTGTAACGACGGCCCTCCTGGCACGTATGTGTCCTTTTTGTTTAGTCTGCCGGTTTTCGACGTGATTGGCCTCGGTTGTGACCAACACCAGACTTCACATCTGGCCGCTCCACAAGCGGCGATACATGTTCATGTGTACACGTCTGATGTTCAGTCAGCGTTTGTATACCTAGCATGGTTCCCTCGTGCGCATATTCCACGTCCCAGGCGGAGGCTCAGGCGTTAGCCATGCTGGTGAGGGAGGGGCTCCAGCCACTCCTTCGGGTGATGCGCTACAGGGGGGACGAGGGCGAAGTCCGGCAAACGGTATGTAGGTGGGGTCAGAATTGGTCTGGGCGGGGTTTGGCCATCCGGGGTTGTCGGGATATGTGGAGCATGATGAATCCTGGGGTGATGATCGGTAGGTGCTGTGTGGGGCGGCAGCTGGTTGTGTTCGAATCCTGGCCCCGAACGCTTTCCAGGCGGTCACCAAAATGGAAACCGCATGGGTAGGAGGAGTTTACAAGGCCCGGGCGTACAACTGCCTCTGCTTGCTGTGTGTCCTAGGGTCTCCCACCTCATGTCCTCTTGGACATTTTTGCCACCCCGTGGTTCTTTTCTTCTTCCGCGCCCGGAAGAGTGGCCATGGATGCCTTCCTTGCGAGAACCTGATGCCTCTTCCCGAACAACTCCCCCCGCTGTTTTGTTTGGCCTCTTAAAGAGTTTGCTTTGGCAACGCACACTCACTACCCTCCTTCCTATCTCGGCGTACCGGTGCAGGTTTTCATCCTCCCGCCGTCTCACACTCCCTGCCCTTCCCCCTATGTCAGCGTTGACGGTGCAGGTTTTTAATCCTATGGTCGCGTCGCACTCACTGCCCTCCTCCCATCTCAGGTGCAGGTTTTCACCCTCCGGTTGTCTCACGCTCACCTCCCTTCCCCCCCTCTCAACCTCGTCGGCTTTGTTGGTCGTGCAGGTCTATCCCCCGATGAAGAAGACATTATCCTGGCCTCTGTCGTGGTGGTCGCCCGCCGCGGAGGGCCGGCGGAGCAAGCTGGAGTCTGCGGTTCGCGGCCTCGACCGGTTGAGCAAGGTGCCCTGCGTGTGCTTCACATTGTGTGTGTGGGTTTGCAACTAGCGTCGACTATTCCAACTCGCTGTGACCAATGGGAAGGCGTCAGCCTCAGTGCGGCTGAATACAGGTAATGGTTCTATTGACCATGATGGGACGTGTGAGTGTGTGCATGTTTTGTTAGCGTCTACCTCGCTGACCGGGTGACCCAAAAAACAGAATCAGTCTCAGTGCAGTTGAAACAAGAAATTCTTCTAAATGTCATCATCTGGCCCCCCGTGAGTCGGTGCCATGGTGTGTGTGCGAGTCTTTCTTCTTTCCATCGACCGCGCTAACCGGCTGTGTTGAGTGCATTTCTGTCTTAATAGTTGACGTCGACCGCGCTCACTGGCTGACGAATGAAAGAAGCGGCACAAAAAATGCCCGACACGCTTTTAAATTTTTTGTGTGTGGTTGTTCTAGTAGAATCGACCGCGCTAGCCGGCTGACCAATGTGTGATTGTGTGTGACTTTTTCATTAGCATCGACCGCACTAGCCGGCTGACCAATGACAACAAAACAGTCGCAGTCGCGGCGTGTGTATATGTGTCCGTGATTTTGAGGTCGTCCGTCCTTTGTTTCCTACTCATGACCCAAGCCAGACGTATCTTCTCCCCGGCGTTTTGCGAAGATGCCCAAAAGGCAGGTCTATTGGAAAGCCTGAGGCCTTTAGTGAAATTCGAACCTTAGACGACCACCTCCAATTCACTTCTCGTCGTCGATCACTCCGGCTGGTCCTCTTCATGTTTCACCAGACATTGTAGCCTATATGAGTTCGGCCCATCATCTCTACTCCATGATACCATCAGACTACAACACAACGACACTACACATATTTTCCAACCACCCACGTCCTCCCCCCCCCCCCCCCCCCCCCCCCCCCCCCCCCCCCCCCCCCCCCCCCCCCCC